GCTACTGAGAAGTGTAAATATTTGAAAGTGTGTTGGCTGTTCTGGAAGCAGACCATACATGACAAGACTAGGGGTGTGGAAATATGTAAATTGACCATTGCTTGAACTAGCACTATCTTCCAATTCAAAAAATATTACAGGATATGTACATTGGTATCAACACTGTACACAAAACTGACCTATGCTTTCAGTAAAGCTTCAGTTTAGTGGTCGATTTTTTTTTCCCCCAGTATTCCTATGACCCATAATTTTCTCTTATATCTTGCAACCCTGTTTGTCAATGAAAATACTGGTTTCACCATTTGCTGGTGAGAACAGTTGATTTTTTTTCCCCACGAACCTTGGTTTCAATTTGAATCAGATGGATTGAACAAATTTCCTTTATCTAGCAGCTATCATGAATCCTAAACGATATCTTATAGAAACCTATGACATTCAAAAAGGACTAGGCAGGTCAAAGACAGGAAGGATGTTCCCAATGACTAGTGGGTTCAGAACCAGAGGTCACGGGATACAGAACAGGCCAGTTACAAGTAATATGAGGAGAAATTTCTTCACCCAAAGAATGGTGAGTCTGTGGAATTTGCTGCCACAGAAAGTAGTTGAGGCTAAAACATTGAATGTTTTCAAGGAGATAGACATAGTTCTTGAAGCTAAAGGGATCAAAGCGTATGAGCAGAAGATGGATGATTACCCATGATCATATTGAATAGCCAGAAGGGCTGAATCACCTATTTCTGCTCCTTTTTTAAAAATGAATTTGTCCATTCACAAACCACTTACGAGATGACATATCCAACTCGAAGACAGTCCATCTGTGGCTGTTTGGACTCTGGAGTGTCAAATGACAGAACGCAACTTGCAGTGAGTAAAGTGTGGGAGTTGATACATGTTACAGTTTGGTGAAGCAGACAGAGAGGTTTTTCTTTCTTTCTGCTGATTTGTTTTCCTAACAACTTTCACAGATCAGTGGGGACAGGAGTAAACTGAGGCTGATATATTATCAAGGAATTAGCTGAGAAGCACCGGGGTTAAGTAAAAGTCAGAGAATAGGAGAAGGAGATGAAAGTTAAGGGAACAGGAATATGTCTAAGATTAATTAATTAGAAAATTAAGCACTAGGACTAAGTAAATTCAAGTTTAGGTCATGGTAGGTGAGGTCAGCTGAGCGGAATGTGTGACTGGTTGTATGTGAGAAGTTATGGACCCTACCAGCATCCTTGGTGACCACATGTATAGAAAGTACTCTCAACTGCAGAAACTTCAGCTCTGTCTTTTGGAAATCAAGTACAACTATGTAGCTGACAGTTATGTGGATAAAATGTTTAGAGAGATGGCCAAATCACAGGTCAAGGGACTGGAGGAAAGAAGGGATTGGAAGACCACCAGTCGAAGAGAATCAGACAGGTAGTGCAGGAGTCCTCTGGGCTTCCATTCACAAATCAATGGTCAGGCGATAAATGTTGGCCAGCCAGAAACGCCCCTATTCCACGAGTGAATAAAAAAAAGTCAGTTTTCCATTTTGGAAGATGTCAGGAGGGCTAGTTCCTCAAGGGAGTGCAGACAGAGCTAAGCTTCTGGCACCCCAAGAGGCCTGACTATACAGGAGGGGAGGAAGTAGAAAGCAGGGGATTCCTTAGTTGGACAAGCAAGCAGGCATTTCTGCAGCTGCAGATACCTGGTATCAGGGTCAGGGATGTCACTGAACTGCTGCAGGCATCCTGAAGAGGAAAGATACAAGACTTAGGTCATGCTAAATACTGATACTAACAATGTAGGTAGGATGAGGGATGAGGTCTGACATCAAGAATTTTGGGAGTGAGGCTGTAGACTAACTAGCAGGACCTCAAAGGTTGTAATCGCTGGATTACTGCTAGTGGCATGTTCTAGCGAGTACAGAAATAGGAAAATAGGGCATACGAATGTGTGCCCTAGAGTTGATGCAGGTGGGAGAGTTTTAGACTTTTGGGACTGTTTCTAGGACAGATGGGACCTGTAGAAGCAGATCAGTCTGCATCTGAACCAGATGGGACCAACATCCTGGCAGGTGTGTTTGCTACTGCTGTAAGGAGGAATATAAATTAATTCAGCAGTGGGTGGAGACATAGTCCACTGGTACAATAGGGACACAGCATACAGAAAGTGAACCAAGGCAGAAGGAGTTCAACCATGTTCATTTTCAAGGAAGTAAGGGGAGGCCTCTATTTTAATGCTAGGAGTATTATAGGTAGACAGATGAGCTCAGGGTGTGTGGAAATGCGATATCGTTGCTATCAAAGAAGTGTGATTGAGGGAGGGACAGGACTAGTGACTCAACGTCCCGGGATACAGGATAGGAGTTGGGAACTAATGTCGAGGTTGTACAGGACATTCATGAGGTCTCTTCTGGAATACTGTCTCCAATTCTGGTTGCCCAGTTAAAGGAAGGATATTATTAAGCTGAAGAGGGTTCAGAAGAGATTTACCAGGATATTGCCAGCTATGGAAGGTTTGAGTTATATGGAAAGGTTAGAAAGGCTGGGACTCTTTTCACTGGAACACAGGAGATTGAGAGACGACCTGATAGAAGTTTATGAAATAATGAGGGTTATTGATAGAGTTAATGGTAGTTGTCTTTTCCCTATGACGGGGGATTTCAAGCCTAGGGGGCACATTTTTAAGGTGAGAGGAGAAAGATTTAAAAAAAACATGAG